GCTTAAGCATGACAATCCCAATTTCTGGTGTGTAGTCGATAGTGACTTCAACGCCTGTCTCTTATACACATCTAGATGTGTATAAGAGACAGGTAGGTAGGAGAGGTGCAGGAAGTAGGAGAGGTGCAGTAGGTAGGAGAGGTGCAGTAGGTAGGAGAGGTGCAGTAGGTAGGAGAAATGCAGTAGGTAGGAGAGGTGCAGGAAGTAGGAGAGGTGCAGTAGGTAAGTAACACTAAAGTCACCTAACTCTCCCTACCTCAAGCGTAACTCGTCGTCTATATACTGCAATAGGCTCCTGCAGAAAGGAACACATTCATAGTGAATGATTACAACAATAACATATCATGATCAATGACAACAATCGTAACTATTTGGTGATGTATGATTTTCCATATAATTATTTATTACATTGAATAGAAATTCATTAAAGTGGATTAACTTAATATTACCAAGAACTCTGTTTCAGGTTAAAAAGTTGAGTAAAATCAAACAACATGGGATGAATATCTGCAGGATTAATGAATAATTGAAGTTTCAACCAATTTTTGTAGGTGGAAAAAGCTATCCTCTCTACCAACTTCTGGCAAGATTAAGCTCATATCATCCATTATTCTACTGTAGGTGTGAACTACTCATGATGATGGATAGTGTGAAGGAAAAAAATAGACTGCAGATATATGCGAGATACATGGTAGATATATGGCAGATACATGTTAGATATATGGTACATATTTGGTAGACATACGGTATGTTAGCTATATGGTAGACACAAGCTTCTGTCTTCACCAGCTGTTGCTCAAGGGTTAATATGGTAAATATAGCTGGCAGGTGTTAATAGCAAGTTAAAATCAACAATAATAGATAATGTAAGGTTAAAATAACAATAACTAACGCATAAAACTGTTATGAGAAATAATACAGCGAGGACAATACTTATAGATGGTTAGTGACACAACCTGTTCTGAGATCAACTGGTAAACGTCTTTAAATTTACGTAAGATTTAAATAAATAGTGCCAGAAACACTTAAATCATGAAAGAAGCAATGAATTAATGAAGCAATGTTGTCAACAACCAGACAAACAACCCCTCACGGACACCCAAACACACAACATGAAAAGAGAAAACATGTAAACTTGAAGCATGCACAAACACTTGATTTCTAGAAGTAATTCTGACAACCCTATAGTGGTGGACAAATATAACGGCGGTCAGCCCAGTAAACTCTGAAATCCCCTAATCTCCTGTCCCTGATTTAAGCAGTATAGGAATCCTCTCAAGATATCCTGTTCAATAAAAGAAATGCCAACAAAATCTTATAAAATCTGAATTTTTAGTAGAGTTTCCTATGCTCTCTCTCAACGCCCTAAATGCAATTATAAAGCCTAATGTGATGCTAAGTCTACAGCACTAAATACATAAAATCAACATACACATGTGAATCGTTAAAAGATTCTCCAAATGAGACTCGTACTAAAACACCGGGGTTGACTATACGTAGAACGCGCGA